CCTGTAACTACAGTTCCTGATGCAGAGTCCCTCTCCAGCTTCCCAGATATTGGAAGGTTGCTATGAGGTCTCCATGCAAACCCAATTATACTTGTGGGTCCCTTCCAGCTCAGAATAATATGTGAATCTCTGAACCTTTTCTTCTTCCATGTTGAACAGCCCAAACTTTCTCCACCTAACTCCTTAGGGGAGGTGCTCCTGCCCTCTTACCAACTTCCTGGCCCTTCTCTGGACTTACACCAGCAGTTTCAATACAAGGCTCCTCTGCTAGTCTTGATGCAAAACATACTTCATGTACATGTGTGTATAGGAGGCATGAATAAGTCTGCAACCAAAAGTAACCCTATAGTCAATAGGGTCTGCGTGAAATTGGTGATCTGTGCAGGTTTTTAGGCGAGCCTTTCAGTCTTTTAGCATTTTACTGTTTTTAAATTATGAATAATAATTTAAATGGAAGTCCAACAATGAGACATCTATTTTAAAAAGTTCCAGCTGAAGTTCCCTCTCGGGCTTCCAGGGAATTTTGTAGGGCTTATTAGCTTAGCTTATCTTTAATGAAATGCTTTAGCCTTATTCTCTGCATAAGTTGTGAACGCTTCAGCAACAGAGTATTCTTCACAAGAAGCTTATCTTCAGTGATTTATTCCTTTTCCACTCCTGATTTACTGTATTTTCAGTATAAGTCTGTTTGCCTAACTTACCTCAGGCAAGTTAGATTACTTGGTTAGAAAATATATAGTTAGAAAATATAATTACATTTAAAAATTCCATGAGATTGGCTGGTAAAAATTTATTAAGGATAATCAATGATCAAGTAGAAAGGAGCAAGTCCTCACCATGACAGTATTAGTTAGTCAAGGGTAAACTGTAGTCCAGAGTAACTCAACAGTTACAAACCAAGTTTTACCGTTATAACAAATTGAAATGAAGTCTTTCAAAATAGCCAAGAACAGATAGAGAGAGTGTCAAGACAACAGAGCCCCTGATGGCTGCATTCCAGTTGGCAGTATTATGAAATAGAAGATTCTAAGTAAAAGACACTTTCAATCTGATTTTTACTTCATCCTTTTTCTGGTACAAAGGGCCAGTGTAGTTTCTCCCATCCCCTTTTCACTACTGCTGATCACAACACTGACATATCAAAAATTTTGTAGGAAATTCCTACAGCACCACAACAAAAAGAACCCCAAAAACAAACAAACAACAAAAAAACCCCCAAAAAATATGCCAAAAGAAAAAAAAAGTTTAAGTTGCTATGCTCCCAAAAAGCAGAGAATAGAGTCAATCACATATCTCACTGAAATCCTAACTGTTCTAGATGTCTCCACATTGGAAAGCTTGGCTAAAGAAATTCTGCATGAGCAGTGTTCCTGAGCCATGGGTCTTACTCTCTTCATAGAGCAGGTTTCCACTGTTTCCAGTGAATCAGCCTTAGAAGAGAGTCATGAACTTGGCTCAGAAGTTTCAAAGTTTTGCATGAGGTATAATAGCCTGACCTTGTGGCACAAAGCCATCCCGTTGGTTTTAATTGCAAAATGCATGCTGGCATAAGTAAATATCCATACTAGGTTTTGGGCAATGCTCTTCTCCATGAATGTAATGCACTGTCATCTTAAAAAAAACCCCAACCTAAATAACATTAATCCTTTGCTACTGCCTGAATAGTTTTCTTCCAAGGTTTTTTAACATATTCAGGCACTTGAGTGCATTTGGTTTCACAACTTGTTTATCTCATAGCCATGCAGATTATAAAACAGGCTCCCCAGGATCTTCAGCATGACCTCAAGATTAAACAGAAGAATTTGGAGGAAGCATGAATATGCAATTCATCTGAGTTAGAATACAAAGAACTCTTTTAGCTCTTTAACTGTGGAACATGTTATTCCTTGCCTATATCTACAAACACTGTAGATGTAGAGAGAGAAAATACACACAGAGTATACATGACACAATACAATAATATCATAAAATTGTAGAATTTCTCAGCTTGTAACGGACCCAAAAAGATCAGCAACTCCATGCTCCTTGCAGGACTACCTAATACTAAATCATAAGACTAATAGCAGCATCCAGAGTGCTCCTTGACCTCTGACAGTCTTGGTGCCATGATCCCTTTCCTGAGGAGCCTGTTCCAGTGGCTGACCACCTTCGCAGTGAAGAACCTTCCTCTGATGAAACTTCACTCCCTTTCCTTGGGATCACTGATCATCCAACAGAGATCAGCACCTCTCCCTCCGCTGCCTGCCTTGAGAAAGGTCTAGACTGTGCAGAGGTAACCCCTCAGCCTTCTCTTCTTCAATCTGATCAAACCAAGTGACCTCAGCTGCTCCTCACAAGTCTTGCCCTTAAGGCCTTTCACCATCTTGGTCGTCCTTCTCTGGACAAACTTTAAAAGTTTAATGCTTTTCTCATACTGAGGCATCCATCTCAGCACAGAATTCTCAAGAAGGAGCTGCACCAGAGCAGGATAGAGCAGGACAATCACTTCCCTCCACCAGCTGGTGATGCTGTTCTTGATGTACCCCAGGGCATGGTTGGCCTTTTTTGCTGCCAGGGCACTGCTGACTCGCATTCAATTTGTCATCAAGCCAGGCACCCAGATCTCTTTTCCTGTGCCTGCTTTCCAATCTCTTGACCCCCAGTATTTATGTATAACCAGGATTACACTGTCCTAGGTGCAGAATCCAGCACTTGGCTCTTGTTAAATTTCACCTGATTGGTAATTACCCAGCTCTCAGGTCTATTCATATCTCTCTGTAAGGCTTCTCTACACTTAATAGTCCATGGTGTCTCCTAGTCTAGTATCATTAGAAAACTTAATGTACATTTAGCTACTGCATCCAGATTTTTACTGCAGGTAGTCAAGTGCTTTAAATGGAATAGTCATCCCTTGTTTTGAAAAGCTGGTACATTAGGGCTCATAGATTAGCTTCATTGACTCCAACTGGAGCAGAATTAAAGCATTCCTGAAAAAATGGGTGACCTTCTCTTTCCTGCTCTTTTACCTTTAAAGGTAAATTATCAAACACAGAGGTTTTTTAACTAGTTAACAAGTTAAAACTATCTATGATGATATCTTCCAACACTAATTATTTTTTCTATATACAAAAATTTCCTTTCAATCCTATTCAATCACTACAGAGAGAAAATATATTATTAATTCACTTTATCAAATCTGACTGAATAGAACTTAATTACAAAGATGTCTTCAACAAATTTCATTTGAGGTTTCTGCACTTTGACAAATACAAAACACGATGTGTGGAAATCTGAAGTGTGCCTTCAGCTGAAGGCAATCTGCAATGGCAGGATTGGGAGTAAAACCCCAAAACTTCACAGAAAGCCTGAGCGAATGCTTACAAAGCAGATGTGATGAGCTGAAATCTTCTTTGCCTGTGGGAATGTGCAGAAGGGACACTGCCCCTTGGTGATTTCCTTTGTTTTATTGTTTTCCAGGCAGTGGGTTCTAGCAGCAATTACCAGTTGTGCCTTCTGGTATGACCTGAGCCATTCAACACCCTGGTCCATGTGACCCAGCCCTCTCTATAATGTGATTGGTATTACATTCACATCCCATGCTTAGTATAAAAGTAAATAATATACATAATTTATCCATATTCATTATGAGGAACTGTCTAACTCAGAGTAAAAAGATACCTCAAGGCTTATACTTAGCTATGCACATAAACTACTTTAGTTAGAGGGAGATAAACTATGAGTTAAAGCAACTCCTCAACTGAAATAGTGAAGTGGCAAAATGTTAGAGTGTAAATAAGAAGTACCTGCAATATATTACACAGACCCTGAATGATTTACAGAACCTCTTAGGGGTTTGGATTTTTGGGTTTTGGTTTGTTTGGTTTTTTACATTTAACATTGTTTGTTACATTTCTTATGTAACAGCCAGGTCTTTTCTGTGATTTAATTATAAATCAGGGTCAAGCAGAGCCTTTTGCTAGAATTACCATCTCAATGCAAAAATAGTGTAGAAGAATACAGCTTTAAAACTATAAAATTACTTCCCAATGGGGGAATAGGGTTAGCTTTATTGAAAATAGGTAGCATAGATTTCTTAATAAAAGACTTTATGAGATATCAAGGAAATCTTTTGACAGTATTACTAACACCTGAAGAAGGCCTTATGGCTTTCATACAACTACTGTAGTTCCTACCCTGACTGCTTCCCTGGGGACTATTCATTGTTTTTATCATTAAACTTTTCTGTAGGAGGAAAAAGACATCAGAGGACATCACTGGTCTTTGACAGAGGTCACTATTAAGCATTATCATTAATTTTTATCAGCTGGTAGGCATTTTTCTGGTTTTGGTAATTAATTTTTGCCTAATGCTTGGTGCTGCAATTAGCAAATCAGTTTATGTGAGGGAATGACATTAAAAAAAAGTACAGATACCTTCATGCTCTCTCTTGCAAATTGGGCCATCAAGAGTCTGAACCATCCTTCTGCATGCCCAGAGTAGTCACACCAACAGACTGTACTGATATTTACACCTGCACCCACGGACATGACTGAATTATATTCTTGCCCAGAGTTCCACTGTCTTGAAGACAACGATCCATATGTGATCCTTCAGTGGTTCAGATGGTAGGATCAGGGCATTAAGTCCCAATGCTATGCTTAGAAGTAGATGATTTGGATCACTGACTAGTACCTTGCTAAACTCTTCTGAGAGAAAAATAAAAGAGTAAAAAGGCGTTTTTGTGCTCGCAACACTGGGGATTTTTTTCCAACTTGTTTATCTAAGCAGATTAAAATTCATATTTCTTTTTTTTCTCGTGACTTATGGTCACTAGGACTTCTCATTCCAGTTTCTTTCTGGTAAGAGTGTTTATGGTTGAGTTACAACCTCCTGAAACATAAGGTTTGTGACAAAAATGCTGAAATTGCCTGAACTGTGGCCACCACCACAGCAACACACTGGGATTTGAACTAAGTACCTTAAATGATGAAATAATTGTGTGGTTTCTTGTTTTTTTGCAGTTCCTGCTTTGCGGCGTATGCGGAATATTGTGCGCCAAAAAAAAATCTGGACTTGTTGTAAGTTTTTCCACTGCATCCATAACACATAAGTATTTGAAAGGCTTACTTATCTAATTTGAACTCTTTACTGGGGGCTTTCTGCATGCGAGGGTATTTGATAAGCAATTAGAAAAAATACAAGTTGGCAATCTAAGAAAAGCAATCAGCACTTTGGAACAGTCACAAAAAACAAGGCAGTTTTGAAATGGCCTATGTAGGTCATGCTATTTAAGCCATACATTTAAGCCCTATTTATCTGTATCTGGATAAACTTTGATCAGAAATCACTTGACATAGATTTATGTCAAGTCAATAAATGCTTCTCAATAATGTCACTGGACTGTATCTTCTCTCCTTCAAAAACCAGCACTGGGTTGCCATCTCAATAAGGCTGCTGACCAAGTTTGTTTCTACATATCATAGCTGTTAAGTGTTTAGCAAGTTTGTTTAGCAATCTGAAACACATGTATGTAAGTTTTAAAGTGGTGGAAGATGTCTCTTCAGGTACAGTAATTTTCTGACTGCAGCAAAATGTTATTACTCAACAAGTCACAGAAGAACTCTGTGTTAAAGACATGATCTTATTTTAAGTGATAATGCCAGTCCTAATTTTCTGTCAGCTTGATTATTCTGCCACATACAATGGAAGTCACATAAAACAAACATAAGTGTGGTGGGAATCAAAAGCTCTTTCCAATTTTTTTTTTTTAATATCTATCCTAAACTCTGTTAAAATGACAGTCCCATTTCTTAAAACATGTGTACCATAGCCAGTTTCCAAAAGCCATCTATTCTGGAGGTCTCATGTAATAGCCATGTGCCAGTGGACTGCAAAATACATCCTCAATGCCACATTCCTAAGGAAATTGTCATCCTAGTTGCGTACTGAACTAGTCTGTAAGGCTCCATAAATTTCTACCACCACAGTAGATAGGTAAATATACAACGCCATATTGAGAAATGTTAAATGCCCATCTAGATCACCTTTTGACAGGTCAGCAGTATCAAGGGAAGTGAGTAAGACAATCATTTAACACTGTCTCCATAAGGTCTTTTGCTCCTGAATTATTTGAGGCTAATGCATATCCTGAATCAGTGCAACATCTTTGTGACTAAAAGCAATAGGAGGTCTTTAAAAATGTCTCATTGATTGCAGCCTGTTTGACAGATTTCTAAAATTCCCAGGAACATTTTACTCAAGTTAAAATCAACCAAACTGAACCACCAACCATATAGTCACCAAACTGACCTTCTGTAAAGCAGCATCACAGATGTCTTTGTTGTTTCTTTTGATTCTTTGACCAGCACATTCACCTTGAACACTTTCAAAGACCCCACAAAAGCTGCAGAAAGCCTTCAATCTGCTATCTGACTGAATAAATTATAACTGAGCAGGAGGCACAGTCAGAATGCACACAAAGCAAGAGAGATTCACTACAAATACATGAGGCATTCACTCCTGAGGCAGGGTGATAAACTGCACAATAGAAAATTACGACTCCTTCTGTCATGTTACTGTTTTGCATGAACAGCTGGAAATCAGTTTTGTGTCCTAGCAGCCCTTCCATCGAATAGGTTTTAACTTTACCTACTCATTTTACCCAACTTTTTTTTACATGCAACATCAATCTTAACTCTTGTATACCAGAAGTTAATATATTCCCTTGGTGCTATAGGGGAGCTAAGAGAGTTAAAAACAAGGGGCTGTGCAGGGTTTTGCAGTCAATGATGCTATCAAAGAATTCAACTGTGGTTATCTCATATTTTATATGCATTAATCCACTTCTGAAAAATAATAATGTGACATAACCTCTCTTGTCTCTCCTGACAGATGATACTTTTTTCTGCCTGTTGCATCTGTGGACTAATAGGAGGAATCTTAAATTTTCAATTTCTTCGTGCTCTGACAAAGAAGTCATCTGCTCTCTATTCTTTGCATCTTGCCTCCATGTCTCTTGCATGCATTGGAATTGGTGGTTGCACCCTTTCTTCATGGCTCACTTGTCGGCTAGCCAGCTATGAACAAAGGAGAATGTTCTCAGAAAGGGAGCATTCATTGCATCACTCCCATGAAATGGCAGAAAAAGTGAGTTGTGTGTCCTCCTTTATTTATTCTGTTTCTCCTCAAATGCTACTGTATGTGTTAACATTTACAATTGGCAAGAGATGTGTTCAGTTTTCAGTTCTATATGAGAAAGAGATTCTGGAAAATGAAATGCTGCCATTCTGTGTAAGCTTTATTATGTTGCATTATATGGAGCTATTTTTAGGTACTGTATATTTGCAGTACATCCATTTCAATGAAGTACATCCATTTTCAACATAATTCCATTGTATAGCTATTTAGGGGCTTAGCTGCTAAATATAGCACTTCCTAAATAATTGGAAGCCCTATTAATATGAATTATGATGTCTTGTACTGTAAAAAAAGCACAGAAAGCTTTCTGTAACCACATCATTGCATGCTTCCAGGATTTAATCAATCTCTTCCTCTCCCAAGTACTCAGCTTATAAATTAGGTTATTTAAACAGAAAAGCCACAGCTCACAAATGTAGGTGACTTAACCTAAGCATCTAAGGGCATATTTAGACACCTAAATAAACTAGTCTCATTTGCAGCACTGAGCATTTACTTCCTTTTTGTATTAACAGGAATCCTACCAAGGTGTATAGGAATATAATTAGGTGCTGAAACTGAAGTTCCCAAAGCTGAGCACATAGGATCAAACCAAGTAATGGAGTGGAATTCTTGAAATAATCTCCTTATCTTAACAGATCTGAATAATATTTTAGGAGTTAAGTGTCCGCTGTAAACCTGTGCTTTGCATTTGGACTTAGTATCTATCCAATGCCTTTCATTTGGAAAATGAGCAGAAAAAAGAACAAAAGTCAAGTGGACTGTCCACCTAAACCTCCACTTGCAAGTCTGCATTACTGTAAAGTTCAAGAGTCTGCTGTCTACTGAAACCTCTGAAGAGCAGAGCAAGGATTAGTCTGCTCAGACTGTAGAATTGTTTTCAGATTCCCTGAAAAAACATGATGTAGCAGTTTAAAATGACTTGTCACTATTTGGTTTCTTAACTGAGATGAGACTTCAAGTAGAAATATAAACTGAATTAATCTTAGATGATGCTTGAAATGTGTCTTAAAAACAGGGAGTTTGAAATGTTTTAAAGAGATGATGTTTTAAACATGTTTTAAAAAGTTAAATAGTAGAGGCTGCAACAGTAACATAAACAGGGTGATCATATCAACAGATGAGATACATTTCTCCATCTCATTTCAAAATGAAGAAGAATTCTGATGAGCTATTAGGCAAATATGATGGTCTTGCTGATGGAAGGCTAGATATCAACTTTCAGAGAGACTCTTGCCTCAACAAGGACAAAGATAGGAGAAAGGAAGAGAGGGAACCGAAGAAGAAACAGCTTAGAAATGAAAAAACCTTTCAAAATAATAAAAGCCAAAACCTTATCAATTTGGGGTGAGGATGACATGGGTAATAGTAGTTCACTGCCTACCTTTCTGGCCTGTGGACCTACTGAGCTTTTTGGCACTTAGCAGCAAGGACTGCCAGGTGTCCACTTAGCCTGGGTGAAGGGCCACAATGTACGTGCAGAGCAAGCTGACTGCACACACTCAGCAGATCTGGGATGCGCCCCACTGATGGCAACCTTCCTGCATGTCTGCTGTAGAGCCAAGTATGCATGTACACATGGCCTGACTTGGGACTTCTCAGACCCACAGACTGCCTGCTGCTGGCAGGGCTGAGTACACTAGCTCATGGCACAAAAACGTAAATTAAATTAGACCCTAATTTAGAAAACAGCTTAGAAGTGTTTTATATATATGGCTGTATTGTATATTTATACTGATATACTGATATACAGTAATGTAGACATGTACTGCATGTGCATTTGTTGGTGCTATATTTATTGTATAATTGTTATATTTATATTAGAGATTGAGGGGTATTGAAATAACCGACCTGCCCAGCTGCCCGGTGATTCCCCCGACACCAGAGTTACCTCCAAGGTACGCTGAACACTAGGGAGCGACCATGTTGTTATGTCACTTCAGGAAGGGCCACCTCTACGAGGAAGTCATAGCTTCAGCTAATCGAAGTTGGCTGATGCTCTGATGTTACTCTGAGGCAGGAATGGTGCTTCCAGGTAGTGACATAACTCTACGTGGTGAACGCTGCAGTCCGGAAGTAAGTTGAGTATTTAAAATATTCACCCTAGTTACAGGCATCCAAATACTCTTATTTGGATGTAGCCACCATTGATTCACTCTGCTTCTAATCTGTGTGCTCCTTCATTCCCTAAATTCAGCACCTTTTTTTTTTTTTAATTAACTTTTTTTTAGATAGAAATATTGGGGAAAATAAATGGGTGTTGTTATTTTCCAAAACTATGGTGATATTCTAACAGCTGATGTCTGCAGACGATTAAAGTGATGATGCTTACAAAAGGAAACTCATGAGTAGCCTTCTGACAGGTCATTGCTATCAAAATATACTGATAGTTAGTATTTGGTATTCTTGGTCTCTTTGGCCTTGGTATTTTTGGTCTCTTTCCCAGCTGACAGATACCTTCAGTGTAGATCCAACAAAGCCTTTGGGCACCCACAAATAAGAAATTACAGTGCCAGACAATCTCCAAACTGGGAACCATAGTCCAGTGTTAGGCATGCATGTTCCTCTTCAATATATGAGGAGAATAAGGCACAATACCAAAACATCCAACACCATCGTCTGCAAATGGAGACCTGGGGTGGTAGAAAATGCTCTAAATTAGTTTCACACCTGATTTTCTCTGAAGCTTATGCTTGATTCAGGAGTATTAACTGGCAAGGCTACTTGGTTTGGTGACATTGTAGAGAAGACTAGAACATCCCTTCTTTCAAAAACTGTGAAGGGAACAATTAAGTCCTGTGATTTGCTTTAAAATGTAGCTGGTAATGTGAGAAAGGAGGCATTAGTGCTTTTTAACTTTATGTTACTATGAGTTCTGGTCTCTGCTTGCCAAATATTGTGGACCAAAAGAAGAGAGAGACTGAGTACGACTAGTAATAAAGACCAGGTTGAATAATTTTCTTCTCTTTACCACGAATCTCAGCTACTATGCTATAGAGTTGGGTTCTTTCTTTCTGTCTTTTTCTCTCTCTCTCTCTGTCTAGCCCAATGAATGTTGCTTCACCTTTTTACAGAGGCTTCCACAGGAAGGGGGACACACAAATCCCTTTTATTCCACGTTTTCTCCAAGTGTACCTAGGAGGAAGAAGAGGTGAATTTGATCTTTCCATGCAGAGAAGAGCCTCTGGTCATCATGCAGCTATTTTAGAACTAGTCCAACACTGACACCTTCACCTCATCTACTTGAATTTTAGAAATACTCCAAGCTGCATTTTTACCTGTATCCATTCCTCTTGCCATAGCTGAATGTTCTCTGTCATTGGACATAAGCAGCAGATCACTTATTTCTGCACCCAGATTCAATCTGGTATGAAATAGGCCTGGGATTGCTCAGAATAAGGTAGTTCCAACCATAAACTCAATGTGGCTTTGCAGGCTTGGAGATCAGGGAACTGTTTAATTAGTGTAGCCATCTCTATGCTTAGACAGCTGCTAAGGGGGTATTGTTTGCATTTCAGTTTGAGAATTAGAAAATCTATCTCTGAGCAAATCTTGGTTCAGGTGCTTTAGGATTCTGACTCATGAGCCGGTCAGCTTACTCTGGGATGACTCACCTGCCACTGGAGAAGCAATCCCTGAACTGCTAAAAATTGTAGACTGGCATAATGAAGGAAAACTAAAATCAGACCCATCCCAAGGGAAAACAAGTACTTAAAACCCTTAGATCCTGTTTGGATCTAGATCTACTTCCCAAATGTCTATTTCAGCAGGCATTGACTGACATCTGTTTGTAGCATGTCAGCGCAGACAGAGGTTTGAATGGAAACAACTTAACTACCATTTCATTCTTTTGTAGATCAGCACACAAGCTTGAGTTGATGCAATTTCAAAGGACAACATCACAAACTAGTACTGGTGCCATCAATGCTCTATATGTGGCCTGAGTGTAATGTCCAACTCAATCACTATCAATGAATCTATCGGCTTTCAAATGTACCTAATTTATGAAGGAAAAAATCTGATTTATTTGTAAGGAGGTTTATCAAGATAAATAAAAATGTAAAGTGTTTTTGAGTGTTTGAAATTCTGAGTTTGTTCAAATTTCATCACACCCTTAGATGACTGAATTTTGTACACCTTACAATAATTCTAATTTTATTTAATGTTTTCTATTCTTGTTCTAGGAAATGACAGACAACCTGAGCAATGGTGGCCCACATCTGATTTATAATGGAAGTGTATATTAAGAAATTTTTAAAAGTTCCATGGAAGGAAGTGGTTTTAGAATTTTCTTCAGGAAATAAAACAGACTCCAAGAAATTAAGAAAATGAAACAATCATAGCTTTTATGGCTCAAATGTCACAACTGCAGACCAGCACAGTTGCAATTCCCTTTTAGAACCATATTCAAAATTTGTCTCCTAAACATTTTGCGGATATACAATATTTATTCACTTCCTGGCTACTCTCTTTCAGTTTTTTGTCCAAATAATCTTTCTGAATTGTGATAGTATTTGAAATAGACTTTGCAAGACTTATTCTCATGAAGACTCAAAAATCAGAAAAAAACTTGAACTGCATTTAGCCCACTCAAAGGAGAAGGCAGAGGAAGAATGGCTCAGGGGAATCTTTTTCTCCTCTCCACTTAGCAGCATCTGGTTTAGTATGATGGCTTCAGATCATGGCAACACATTTGCACAGTCCCTCTCCTCACATTTTGAATGCATCCTGCCTCAGTTTTCCCAGCAGATCATATCAAAAGAGAGTGCAAACTCCTCTTCCAAAAAGCTCCCATCTCACATCCAGAGTGTAAATGAACAGTGTGCTGAAAACAACGCCGATGTCTTTGTTTTGAAAGACAGAATGCTCTAAGAATGCCATAAATCAAAACCTCAATAATGCCTTGTTGTAAAGAAATTGTAAATATTTCCAATTTGTGAATGAAGTATATTTCGTAACTTGTTCATAAAAGATGACAAATAAAATGAAATCTAAACCAGAGATTTTAGGGAGATCTTTTGGGTTTTTTTTCTTGTTAGAAATATCTTGCGAAGCTGAACTGTCATGCTTGCAGTTTAGCACAATATATTGAAAAGTTTCTAAAAGCTCAGAAAGGAAAAAATGAAGGTTGAACAAAGTCATGGTCAAGATCAGAAGTCACTGATTCTTCTCCACACCAACAATAATGTTTGGGGGTATGTTAAAGCAGCAGGTATGCAGCTTTAACTGACCCCAAACTTTATTGCAGAACCTAGTGGTTGGTACAGCCATGAAAAATGGAAGGTATTGTCTGTAGCAGAACATTTACAGCATAATATTAATATTAATATTCATATTCTTGAAAATCACTCATATGTTACATAGTGAATCTATGACTTTGCAGTATTGCCCAGCACTGCAACACGAATTTCAGATGTGAGCATCACTGATGAGTGGCAACATTTGATGATTCATATCCATGTTCCCAGACAGGTATGAATAGAACTCTATTAATGTTCAAACTACGCCATAGAAAGCCCTATAAATTACATCAAATTGTTTTGTGAATCCATATGGCATAAAATAATCTTTAAACTGACTATCTTAGAATTGTTGAAGTCCATAAGGGATCTAATTACAACATGGGGAATATCTTCACTGCAATTTAAGTCTCTCCCTTAAACTCCAAGCTAATTAGTTGGATGGCTACACTTATGAGTTGAGAAACAGTCCACCTTACAAGGCTTCTCTTCACTTACTTACTGTTCCAAAGAGCTTTTGAATTTTCTCAGAGGCCCTGGTTGACTAGTATTCATTACATACCTTAGACATTGCTAATGAGATTGTTCAGGTTCGTTGAAGAATACAGACAGTGTCATAGCAAAATAACTAGATGCTAAGGTATCTCTGCTCAAGGAGGTTCTCCCCTTTCCAGGCATTACCTACCTTTACACTGCTTCCTTCACTATGTTATAAATTGTTTGTGCTCTTTATAGGTGCCATTGTCCCTTCAGTTTGATACTCCTCTTCCTTTGCAGCAGGAAGCATGAGATAAATCTGTGCCCAGTACAGGCCCTTTATGGGAGCATTTTTGCTGCAACTCTGGACACAACCTGCCAGGGCAGGACCATGGTAGAAACAGATGCAGAGATTCACATATATTGAAAAATGCACATTGAACATACAACCTGGGGAGGTGGTTTTGTAACTTTCCTTCCCTCGTTGTCTCAGAAAAAAAACCCAAGGGCCTTATAAAATCAAGACTAAATTAAAATATTACTCAAAAATCCACCTTGGAACTGCCTGGCTGCGGTTCATCATAACTATACTATCATAGTTCACCAGAATCTCTTGTGACATCTCAGGACTAGGAATGGTAGCTTCAGATCCTGGAGTAGTTTGGAGTTGCAGTTCAGAATCTGCTCGGGAATGACATGAAACCACTGACCACAACACCACCACAGTTATTTATCACAAATACTTAATTTCCTGGCATATTAGTGACAGTATGGGATAGTGCAGGGAAATAAGTAATTCTTCTCTATCCAACACAGTAGTGCAGTACAACAGCCACTTCCTCCTACTTTGGAAAGGAAAGGAGGATACATCCTCTAAGCTCACAGTGTTTGAAGCCCTGCTGTGAATTATGAAATACCACCACATCATGTCTGCTTACAGAGGTGCTGGAAGGAGAAAGAAGAGATCTGGGCCCCAAATTCAATTGATAGAGGTTTTTTCCTTCTTTTGGTGCCAAGCTTGTAAAAGGTAGAAAAACTGGCTGGTCCCTACATAAATAAAAGCCTTGGAAATGCAAATCTGGAAATAAAAAGACTTGGGAACAAATGTGACAGAGTGCTCCTACTTGAGACATAAAAAGAGGATCAGAATTCAGAGCAAATTACCACAATATGCGTATGTGGTAGGGGAATTCTGGGAAAAGTTTCACTGTGTTTAATGGTTTTGTTCCATAATTGCATACAGCATTCAACTGTAATGGAAACATTCTCTGTGTGTTTTTGTTACTGGCATAGATGAAAGGACACTCATTCCACTTACCCAACTGCATGAAAAACAAAACTTTCACTTTTCAGAATGCGATCAGCCAGTGTAACTACACCAATAGCTTGGAGGCTGGGCACCCAAGTCCTTTTCAATCTAAATAGGATGAAACATGTATTGCTGTTGACACAGTTGTCTGATTCATGCTGCTGTAAAATCAGATGCTGGCTTAGATTCTCTCAGATATTCAGCTGTTATTTACTAGGTCAAGCAACACTCTTCCTGAAGGAACTTATTTACTGAACTTTGTGCAGAGGACTTAGCTGGTAAGTCCTTGATGCATGTTATAATACCTTAGGCTATATTTTATGCTATACTTAGCATTTCATTGAACCTCAGCTGATGAGAAACACACACGTTTTGAATTTACAACAATCAGCAGTGCTTATTGCAAACTGTGCAGAACAGTGGGTATAATATGTTTTAAATCTGTCTTGCACAATCTTCAAAATATATTTGTTGTATTAGGACATATGAATTTCCCTTCAAATAGTCTGGAAAGGTATGAAGGACAGTGAAGCAGGCCACATTCAATAGGAAATTGATATACATTAAATATACATAATCACAAATAGTCATGCTTATAGAAAAAAATTTCCCTGACAGTGTGATTTTAAAGATGCAGTGAAATGAGAGTCTCATGGTTTAAGCCATTTTTAATCCTTTCAGATCCCAGTCCCAAGCAGGTTAAGGAGTTAAAAGGAACCTTTTATAATTAAATGCTTAAAAATATCTAAAAGCAGACTGGTATTAGTCTACCATACCATTGTAGATACTTCTGAATAATCTTCCTGCCTAAAATGGTTCTATCTAGCTTTCCTTTTCTTTATCAAAGTGACATCTTTAGCTTCACCATAAACCTCCAAAATCAACAATCAGTATGTACAACCAAAGCTGGTTTTTTTACATGCATCTGGAGGCAGATTTTGAGGAATATTTTTAGAACTTGTACAAGGGCTAAGCAGACAGACTTGGAGTTGCCAGGGGGCGAGAGAAAAAAAAAGGAAGAAAATAGCAGAATATTTTTGATAAAACATAATTTGATTGGAGTAAAGATGCTAAACCCATCGTAGTTTAGTATCACCAGCCTAAGGAGCTCTAAATGACCTTGAGAAGCTTGCTCAGAAAGGCTTTTTTACTCCTAATTATAAAATTATGAGAATGCGACATGGTGTTTTCAAGGGAAAAAAAGGAACTGGGTGAGATTAATCAGTAGCTGGGATTTCAGCAGAAGGTGTGTGCCTGGAGAGACTTGCTTGGCTATGAAATTGTTGTTCTGCTACAGGAAGAAGCAGCTTTGACTTGGAGCAGAAACTCCAGAGGGCTGCACCAGGGTCTCTCTTGCCACCTCTCATCAAAACAGTCCAAGAAACACTGAAGACACATCACATACACACACCCACTTCTGCCAGAGAACCAACAATAAGCTGTGAAGAGCACCCTCACTATTGCTCTGTGGTCCCCTCAAATGAGCTCCCAGCACATACAGAAGTGGAAGGTCTGTTGGTTGTTCCCCTTACATTGCATTTGATTTGCTGCAAGGTATCTTTTATGTTCTTTAACCGCAACTCACAGCAGGCTGCTATAGCGACTTCCACATCATTCCAGTTTTGCTTCATAACCTGGAGAAGGTTTGTTTTGGTTTGGTTTCCTAGAGATCTCTCTGAAATGCATTTAAAATCCTGCCATAAGATGCAAAATGTGTCTTTCTAAAAATACATGCAATTATGGCATTTTGAACAGGTTGATCATGTACATTATTTAAAAATTACTTCATCTGCATATTGAAAATAGCTGTTTACATGAACTGGCATAATGTGCAATGGCAATATGCCAGGAAGGCAGGGATGAAGGGGCACCATAAACAGAACTGAAAAGCTGCATACAATTCTGCTGATATGAACCAGGTATAGGAGTCAACACAACTTCTTTTTGCACCCTTAGGAAATCATACATACATTTAAAAATATCTAGGAAGCATGAGGATTTCCTACCCTCTTTCCTGAGTCCCATGAGTAGTAGCTAGTGTGAGACAAATCAAATTATGTTACCAGGACCACAAACTTGTTCAGCTCCTCTCCCACATCATTATGTGAACCCTATTTTCTCTCCCTCCCACTTCATGCTGGTTCAAGCTAGGAGACTGTGTCTTGTATCTACCCTTATCTCTTCCCTTCTGTTAAAATGCTACTGAATCCTTTGAAGTGTTTAACATTGAATCAATTCTTACCTTTGTTGCCCAGAGAAAGGAAACAACAATCATTGCCTTCCTTTTACAGTGAGATTGCAAAAAAAAGCAAATTTAATCCATGATTTACCATGAAGTCCAAACATGCAGACTGACACTATTAAATTCCTGTGGTTTGCTACATTACTGATATCATTGCTGTCTTCCACCCTAAATCCACGAATAAACTCCAGGAATTTTGACAGCTAGTATCTTTTAGAAATATTTATGAACTGTGTAGCACCCTGGAAAAGTGTGTGTCAGAGCTGCTTTTTGAACTATTACATGTGAAGAGCAGTAGGTTAATATTTATACTTACACAACGGTGGCAGTGTAAGTATAAATACCAGAAATCTTGAAATGGTCCAAGGGTTCTGGATCTAAAAGGCATGGGATTCTGCATGATCATACCTATGCAATAAATTGTTTTGTTTCTATTTTATGTCTAAAAATTAAAAAAAGTATAAAACTATGAAGAAAACTGTTGAGTTTGTAAATTTAGATATTCCTGAAGAGATACCTGAATGGATTTTATGATTAACTTTTCCTTCTGTGTAGGACAAGACAGGATACTTAATCTGACAATCCTTTTATAAATCATACAACATCTTTGAAAGAAACATGCACTTTTCCATCAAAACATGTAATCTATCACCTCCCTTTTTCCAATGATCACAAGCTTTCCTAATTTAAAGTAATTTGTTTCTGTGCAGATTTCCCAGGCACTGGCTCTCAC